CTCTGTCAAATTCATACTTATTTTTTCCACAACCACATCTCTCCTTAACTGTCTGAATCTATATATTTTGAATTTAGTCTGGGTAATTATCAGGATCCAGATATTTGGGGCAGCACACAGTAAAACCCCTCATCTCATCAGCTCTTAGTTGTATTATCTGGTGACTTCCACTTCTTTTCCCTCCTTTACCAAGTGTCATATCTGACAGTGTTCTCTCTCAAAGGGGAAAAATTACAGATAATTAGATCACACTTTAGCCTGATTTATCTTTCAATGAAGATTTTAAACCCTATCTCTAGTATGATATTTTAAAATCATGTCTCTAGTTATACTCCATGTTGTGACTCTAAACCCGACAAAAAGGTAATGCATTACCTGTATTACATCAAGCAGTTCAGTAAATGTCTTTGTTTTCATGTGTAGTATATTTTATATTATTTGATAAATATGCTTCATAGTCTGTGATTTTCAAATATATTCATATCCTTGTTCCAAAGAAGGTGTCATCTTGGTGGTTTCTTTTTTGCTTTCATTCTCAGTATTTCATACCATAAGGAACGCACGAAAATCTTATTACACTGGAGTAAATAGGAACCACTTTTAGAGAAAAAAGTATACCCATAGTATATTTAATCAGGAAAAATATAATTACTCTGATATATTAAAACGCTTGTATAAATATATGTGATATAACCCTGAAAATTAGCTGTAATATAATACTGCTTCTTAAGTGTCAGCCAGTTAAGTGTTTTGTGATATTTGCCAAGAATGTTTATTTTATGTTAGAAAATAACATAAAATATAGCTTTTTTTCTCTTTTTGTCAATTTTTAAAAAGTTTTTGATTCCTACGACTCTACATATGTGGCCATGAGCTTTGTGTTTTGCATACAAAAGAATCTAAGCTTTTCTACTGTTATTGAGGATGGGAAAAGGAAGAGGATGATGACTGCACTGAAGTAATTCAATAATATAACCAAATCATTGGTAAGTCAAGACATATATTTATTCAGTAATATAACTAAATCACTGATAAGTCAAGGCATATATTTATTCAGTAATATAACCAAATCATTGATAAGTCAAGGCACATATTTATTCATAATATAACCAAATCATTGATAAGTCAAGGCACATATTTATTCAATAATATAACCAAATCATTGATAAGTCAAGGCACATATTTATTCAATAATATAGCCAAATCATTGATAAGTCAAGGTACATATTTATTCAATAATATAGCCAAATCATTGATAAGTCAAGGCACATATTTATTCAGTAATATAACCAAATCATTGATAAGTCAAGGTACATATTTATTCAATAATATAGCCAAATCATTGAAAAGTCAAGGCACATATTTAAAAGAATACAGAACTGTATCAAACATATCCCAGAGTGGTTGTTTAATTTTAATGAAAAGGCATTAAAAATATTTTCATACTCTTTTACCCCTTTTACCTACATCTTTTTGAGTTTTTCAATTCCTCTGTGTAATAGGAAAGAGAATATTATTTACAAAAAGAGAATATTATTCTCTTTTTGTAAAGGAGCAAATTTAGAGTCCTCAAATTTACACTGCTAGTGACAAGCTTAAGATAACATTATGGATCCTCTGTCTTCAAACTCCTGACAGTTGCCTCAACATGGCCATCTAAATATACAATTGCAATCAGCACTCTAGGAAAATGAATAAAATATCTGCAAATGCCATAAAATGCAGATTTTGGAACACAATTTCTTCTCTTAAGTTGAAATTTCCCTATAATATTAGTTTCATCATTATATTGTGTGGCACAACACAACATAGCCTACAAGTGCCCTGGCTTTGACATCGGGCAGACCTGGGATCAAAATTAGGCTTTCTCACCTGCAACCCGTATGACTTTGGGTAAGTCCTTAACCCTGATAAATCTTAGTTTTCTTATCAGTAAATTAGGATATTAGTATTTCTTTCACACTGGTCTTTTCGACTTTGAGTAATTGTTTGTGTGTGTGTGGCTCAAACATATGTTTATTCAATATCTAATACAAATTATCTTCCTAAATATCACAAACGTACCTCGAAAATGAGTTATAATAAGTAGATTTAGGAGCATGTAACACTATTTCTACTTTATAGTTTAAAAAAATGAGGCACAGAAATGCTAAAAGACAAAATTAGACTGTCTGTTCAGATTAGGTTCTCCAAGCAGTACAAATCCAGCAAAAAATATATTGCCCTAAGTTAAAATTTTATTTGTTTCATAGAGCCAGCAATCCAGAAGTAGACAATATAGAGCTATATGAATACTAGAAACTAAAAGTCTTCTATTTTATTGTCCGTCTACCTTTTCTTGCTCTTTCATAATCTAAGACAGCACCAGTCTCTAGTTACATTTACATTCCAGCCGGCAGAGGAAGAAATAACAAAAATAGGTGTAAAGGAGATTCCTAGAAAGCTGCAACTTAACAATTTGGCCAGAGCTTTATCACATAGCTACATCCAGCAGTGAGACTAAATAATATAATCTTTATTCGAGGAAGACTATGTTGTGCTAAGTATGAAGGGTGTTCTTACAAAGAAATAAGAGTGAATATCAGGTTATGTAACTATCAGCGCATGCTGTGATATTTTGATGTTTACTTGAGGTTTATTTGTAAGCTTCTAACTTATTTCCTCTTCTAATAATTTTTGTATGAGAAGATCCAAATTTTACTATTGACATTATTTCTTTTATATATTTAACAAATATCTTTACATCAAGATGTACTCTTACTTTTTTTCCACTGTCTATGGGGATTCCAATAACTACACCACCAGTAGACACATAAGCAATGTCTGGATCTAGTTACAGTATAGCTCTTGACTAAATTCTTATTTATATTTTGGTATTCTTTTAAAATCTTTCTCTAACAGTTCAATATTTCTGTTTTTTTTTTTTTTTAAATGTGTAACTGGTCACACTATTACATCAGTGACTGTGGTGTGTTGCTTTAATTTTTGAGAGCTTGTAATAATCTTCTAATATCTGTTATGGAAAGTTTCCTCTCACTCTTATTTTCCATGATCATTCTTAGAGTTTTTCTATTCTCTTCATAATTTATTTTTTAGATAAACTGTAGTATCAGTTGTTTTTCTAAAAATTCTTCTAGAAAGTACGTTTAAAAATCCTGTTAATATTTTTCATTTTTTGTGCAAATTTAGAGATTAATATGGTGATAATATTGAGTCTATTGAGAAACATTGTATGAGTTTAAAACTGTTTATTTCATTTAGTAGTCTTAAAGATTTTTCCAAACAGATCTGCCATAATTACACACTTATATGTTGGCCCTTTTGTTGACTTTATAATAAGGACTTTTCTTCCATTTTCACCCATTACATTTTCCAATTGCTTTTATATATAAAAGCTGTTGATTTATATATAGTAACTTAGTTCTTAACCACTTTAGTAAATTTTTTCTTTGCAGTTACCCTTCCAGTTTAGTCTTTTATATTTTTTGAACACTGTCATATCATCTATAAGAACAGCAGTAGCACATCTTCATTCTCAATTTTATAACTCTAATTTATTTATCTTTACTACTGTTATTATTTGGTATCCTCAAAGAAAAGTTAAATGATTATAATGCTGGTGGTGGTTTTTTTATTTCTGACTTTAAAGGGATTTCTCTTAAGATTTCTCTATTGAGAATACCCCTGTCATTTGGTTTAGAGAAAAACATCTTGTAGTACATATTCATGTGTTTATTCCTATAAAGATTTAATATACTTTTTAAATTTCCGGAATGCTTGTGTTGTTTATCTGGAACATAAGGGCAATTCCTATCATTCCGTTTTATGTTAATACATCTGAAAAATTAAATTATTAATTATCAAATGGCTATTGGGTAAATAATATGACAAGAAAAAGAGTGGAATCATGCAGTAGGATATTTAATGTGGACCATGCCAGGAGTGAGCAGTACCATTGACCTGCTATGACGCATATGGATCTAATTATGTGAATAATTGAGCTTTTCAGATGCATTACCTATTAATTAAGCAAGACTTTTGACTATGTGTGAATAAAACCCCAATAACAGTGGTTGAAACAAGGGAGCAGGGTGTTTCTTGCTCAGGTAAAATTCATGTGTAGGAATTCAAGGACATCTCCTGGCTCCACAGCCCTCTGGGATTCAAGCTACCTCCAGCTTTGCATTCTGTCATCCCTAGGACAGTGCCTTGTGTTTAGGGGTCAGGATTGAATTTTGACCATCACATCAATAATCCAAGCCACAACGTGGAGGAAGGGAAGAGGAATTGACATGTGCCCTCCATTTTAGGACATGTCCCAGAAATTGTGGACACTATTTCTGTTTATGTCTCAATGGTTCACACTTAGTCACATGGTTGCTTGTGCAAGGAAACGAGAAATTTAGCCTTAATTCTGGGAGACCATGTTCCCAGCTAAAATTCTAAGCTTCTTTTACTAATAAGGAATGAAAATAGATATTAAGAATTAACTAGCAGGTTTTTTTTTTCCAGCAGGCTGACTTTCACTATTGAATTGAGCTGATTAGACATTTTTTAAGTTTCTTGAAGCAGGAAGTTGTATTATAACTGGTTCACACATATTTTTTAGTACACCTTTGAATATTATTATAAATCCTGGTATTTCCATCTTCAGTTATTTAATATTTTTCATGAAGGATGTTAAAGTCTTTTTATGAGAGGAAAGCATTCTAATGCCATTTGTGATGTATTTTATAGTCACAATGTAGCCTGGGAAACTTCTGGAAGGTTTTTGTTTATAAATAGTTTTATTTAATACATTATAAATGAGCCTAACCTTGTATTTAGGTTCTGACCTAGTATTCTGACACAGAAGAGGCTGGAAAGTTTAATTATCCTAAATGTTTACTAATACATCAATTTCCTCTACATTTTCACCATATCCAAGAAAAAAAAAATGCAAAGTGTTGATAAGCTGTGAGGTAAGCAAATATCATGACTTCCTCTTCCGTTCTCCAATAAAAACCCTGGCACAATCTCAATCCCCAGGTCTGGCACAATGGCTTTTCTTCCTTTCTGGGTTTGTGTACTAGTTGGTTGCTTTTCTGTTTCTTTAGCAGGGCCTTCCAGTCTCTCAGATTTAGAGCCCCCTCTGTGGAAGGAGAGTCCTGGTCAGCTCAGTGACTACAGGGTAGAGAACAGTATGTACATTATTAATCCCTGGGTATACCTTGAGAGAATGGGGATGTATAAAATCCTATTGAACCAGACAGCCAGGTATTTTGCAAAGTTTGCACCAGAAAATGAACAAAATATTTTATGGGGATTGCCTCTGCAGTATGGCTGGCAATATAGGACAGGTAAGAATGACTCTTGTTTTCATTGTAATCATTTACCAATAGATCTGTGAAGTATTTGGGAAATAAGACTCTGTATATACCCTACCATGTTTGTAAAAATTGATTCTTTATGTTGCTCTCTTTTCCCTTATAATCACTGTTTTCCTACATTTTCTTCTCCTTCTTCACAAATCCTTTTTTTTTTTGTGGGTTGTGTGTTACTATTAGAAACTTCGTTGAGGCACAAGGCATAGTTATCAACTGTGAAAGACGTCACATCTCTTCTCTTGGCATTTTACAAATATTTATTGAAATTCTACTAAGTGCCACACTCCTTTCTAAGGAATGAGATAAATAGAACCGTCAAGGAGATATACAAAGGGATGTCAAATTAGTTTGAATTTCTTCAAGTTCTAATTATGACTATGGATATGAGGTTATAAAGAAGCATCACATTGTTCATGAGGATCTTTCTCTGCAAATGATTGCTTCCTCTTGGAAATAAGGTACTTTACAGTGTATAGACAAGTTACATTTTGGGATAAAATATGCATGAATTGAAAGACACTTTTGTTCTGGTTGATAGAAGCTCATGAGAAAGAGTTGCCCGTCTACTCCATACCAATAACACAGACAACAAAGAAATTATTGTGTGAGAGAGATTAAGAAAAGAACAATTTCATTTGGCAAGAAAATGATTATTTTCTAATATTTACATAATGCATATTATAGGTGAAACACTTTTGGTGCTTTTTCTCACTTCACATCACAACCTTATAATGTAGTTAATATCATTATCCCCATGTCATAGATGAGAAAACAAAGGCATTAGAGGCTATTTAGATAAAGCCAAGCTAGTAAGTGGTGGATCAGTGGTTTGTTTTGATGCTTGACCATCTCTTTTCATCTGTATGCATATCATTTCATAGTTTGATCAGGAGGTAGAGGGTGAAGTGGAAGAGAAAATCCTTACAAAGAAAACAATATTTTGGACCTATAATTCAAAGTAGAAAACCGTGGTGGTGTTAAAGAAAAGAAATTGATTGGGATCTAAAAAATAAAAGATAAAAAGGAGTGATGGGAATACAAACATATCATTCAGAAATAAATGCTTTTCTATCTACAAAAAATATTTATCTGGTTAAGCAACAGTTATAGCCAGTTTCAAAATATGTATAATAAATACAACTGTGCATCCTCTCTTCTCTAGGGAGATTAGCTGATCCAACCCGAAGGACAAACTGTGGCTATGAATCTGGAGATCTTATGTGCATCTCTGTGGACAGCTGGTGGGCTGGTATGTTCGTTTAAGTGGCAAAGTAGATATTAACCTTTCCCGAAAGAAAGCATTCAAACCTGAAATCTTAAGGACAGAGACAGAACTAAAACAATCCTGTTCCTTTTTTAAAAGGGAACCTATTTCACCATATATCTTACAGCCTCTAGGTCACATTATAGGATTTAACAGCCACAATGTCAATAATGATTCCTTAGGACATATCCAGCTTTTCACAGCAGAACTAAAATAAGGTTCTATAAAAGCGATGGCCTTTGAGGGGCCAGCTCTGGCGATTAGGTGGGAGGTCCAAATAATGACAAAGAATCTCCAGAATAAGGAAGGATGAGAAATAAGACACCAAGACAAATGATGCTTTTCCATTTTGCTCAGACCAGATGTGTTTAATATGGAAACCCATAAATATGCCAGAGATTAATACCTACTGCAATTCATTATACCAATCAGTAATCTCAGGCTTTAATCAAATACTTAATGCTAAAATAACCAGAAGGTATTTTCTAATTCTTTCATTAAATTTTATGCTTTAGTAATGAAACCAATTTATACCACAAATCCTTAGAGGTATTTCTCAATAATTAGAAACATGATCACATTAAATTTTACTTTTTCAGAACGACACACATCATATGTAACCTTAGGCATTTTCCTCTTACTGCCCCTAATTTTTCCTTTCAAAGACCCACAAATAGTAGTGGTCAAAGATCTAGAAATCAGAGTTTGTTATTCTTAGATTGGTTTAGTAGTTTGGAGGATCAGCCTGCTACACTGGGGCATATGACTCCATTCACAAATGCCTGTTTAGAATAAAATATTCGACATCACAGATTTCTAGTGGAAATCTGCATAAGCCTAATATCCAACTAGTGAAAATGTTTGAGCCTGCTGGAATAGGTTATATATAGGCAAATTTTTAAACAATTTAAAAATAGCCTTACTTGATTATCAGTCCAGTTATCCAATGATCTACTGTCAAAACTTATCTAAAATTTTTGCTTTAAAGGCATAAAATAAGACAAAAACTTAGTGATATCATGGTTACAAATTAAACTTACATATATGTGTGTGTGTGTGTATATATATATATATATATATATATATAATAGAAAACATTCATTTACCAAAGCTATAATCATGTTAAAATATTTTAGAAAAAAATGCAAATACAATTCACAATAAAACCGTAATGGGAGGTTTTGTACCGTTCTGTGGAAAAGTTGATAGCTTTCTTCCATTTTTACTTAATGCTTTGAAAAATGAATATTGTGCAATCCATTAAAACATCATAGTCAACTACTTTAGCCAATATATATTTATGATTATAGGGTTATTAACAGAAACACAATCAAAGTTATATATTTGATTCTTAGGGGGATTTTTGGTCAATTTTTTTTCCCTAGTGCTTAGCTTTTATCAAAATATCCTCTTTGAAATTTGTTAGTCCTTGTGGTAACAATAAGTCTTTTGTTCTTACAGATTTGAATTATTTTCTGTCTTCATTGCCCTTTCTTGCTGCGGTTGATTCTGGTATAATGGGGATATCATCAGACCAAGTCAGTCTTTTGCCCCCACCCAAGAATCAGAGGAAGTTTTGTTATAATGTTTCTAGCTGTCATTCATCCTTCCCTGAGACAATGAACAAGTGGAACACCTTTTACCAGGTTTTTTTTTTTAATACTCTTAGGAGATGGGAAGAGAATTTATTTTGTCATATAATTCTTTCTAGGATTATTTGTGCATTACATAATATCCTTCTTAGTATGCAAATGTAAATTGCTATGCATGTTGTATTAATAATATCTGTTATAGTAGTGTTATGAGTCATTAACACCTACTGCCTCAATATAGCGTTACCATAAATCTATCCATTCTTCTTGGCTCAAATATATTATACACAAGTGGTGAGCATACAGCATACTTTGCTGAATGGTAGGCTATTCTGATTAATTGAAACTTCATGCTGACTAGGATATTGGAAGAAATTTGACTAAAATTAATGAAGAAAAATATATTTATTTGCACTTCAGTAGATTATTGCATTAGTTTAGATTTAATGAAACATTTTAACAAGATATTATTACTCAAGATTTTATGGTAATTTTAACAATGTTGGTAGGAAAAAATAAAGACTTTCTGATCACTATAAAATATAGACCCTGAAAATACTTGAAGTTCAATATTTCTAGATGCATGTACTATTATTAAAACTAATGAATACTTTTGTGTTCTTTAAAGAGTGTTAGGCATTAAGGCCATATACATATTATTTCTTAGAAATAAAATTCTCCTTTTATGTAGAATATTGCTAAATTATATATCTGAGCATGACTAAATTTCAGGGAGAAGGATTGTTACAGTTGCTCAATTATTAATAAATTTGACTTCTTTATCTTAGCATTTGCAGTCACCTTTCAGTAAGTTTGATGATCTGTTGAAGTACTTATGGACTGCACATACTTCAACCCTGGAAGATACTATCAAAAGCTTTGAAGACAGGTAAGAATGTGTATCAAATGTATCTCTATTTAATATGCTAAATAATTTTGGGCATTATTTGTATATTTTTCTTCTTCTAGAGTGTTTATCAATCTTTATATTAAATAATAAGCCTAACCATTGGAGATTATAGTAAATATGTGTAAATATTTTAACATGATCAGGCTAAAAAAAGTATTTTATGAAGGGGAAAATTTTGAGAAAAACAGCCATGTATGAAAAAACGAGCAACATGCAACACATTTTCCTAACTGTAGAAAACAAAATGAAATGTAAATATGTAGATGACTTATTATTTAATGATAGACACTGTTACAAGAACAATTGTAGATAAGATAAATGTAGCAGAATTCACTTAAGCATTGATTGTTTCATTAATCAGCACCATCTTGAACCAATAGAGGTTCAGAGAGCTTTACCCAGTGATGTGGGCAGGCAGTATTTAAAGACAGAAAAAGAAAGTGACATGTAGGAACACCTTGATTGGTTATAGCTCAACGTTTGCCTTATTTGGATATAGTGTGGTGAGAAATTTGCCTTATATGGGCATGGTTTGATTAGTTGGCAGCCTGTGACTGGCTGAAGCTCAGCTGCCATGATTGGCTGAGACTCATATTTGTTACAAGAAAATACTCCTAAATTTGTTTGCAGTTTGTTTACAAACTACATTAAGCTGCAGTTTGTTACATATTGTCGCAATTTTAGGCCAAACTTAATTTAACAATTCCCCACCTTTTGGTCTGCCTTTCAAATTTAAGAGGTCAACCAAATCTTGGGCATTGACACCACTCTCTTTCACTTTCATAATGGACTTATTTGGTGTTGGTATGGAATTCACAGTTCTTAACACCAGGACAGTTGACTGATTATTTATGTTCTCTTTATATTTTCATGATTCTTACTGTAGTGAGATCATTTCACATAGAATGAATAGCTGCATAAAAGGATTTAAGACTTGGGGAAGTTAAGGTGCATCAGGGAGATTATTATGACGGCTATCAGGAGGCTAATACTAAGAGACTGAAGAGTACTCCTTAGCCTCTGTGAATTGAATCAACCTAAATCAAACATATAAATAATAATCCAGAAGAAAAATCTACTTGTTTTAATCAAGTAACTTGTTTGTTGATTTCTTACAACTGAGTTTCTACCCTACCAGATGAATTTACTTAAAAGTACAGCAGGAGGTGTTAGCTAGTACACATGTTCCTCCCTGCAGGTAGTCCAAAGCAATCTAGTTACCTAATATACCTTCAGCAAGAAAATCTAAAGAAGTTTGCTGGACAATTATAGCCTCTGTAGTAGAATCAGCTATAGTAACTAATCTGTGAGACGTATTTCTAACCATAACCTCATTTACATTTATGCAAAGCCAGGGGAGGACTGTTGTACCCAACAATGCCTATTAAGAAGAATTTATACCTGCCGGTAAATTCCTCTATATTATTCCATAGTTCAAATTAAGAGCTGCAGACCAATATCCAGTTTCCAATTAGTTATGGAGTGACAGCAGTACCCTCAGAATCCCTTAATTGCCAGTGGCTCCTTATTTTGCCATTATTGAGACATGGATATGCCAGCATATATGGTTGGCTGTTAAATCTTCCACAAATAAAAATATATTCTGGAGGGACACTATAGACAGCCTCCTGTGTGAGATGCTTTGTACATTATGAGTCACCAGTAGAGAGCATTAGTAATATTTGTCTAAGGCCTCATTTTTTAATCATTGTATGGTTAGAAGATACTAGCAACCAAAGGATTAGGGCTATAAATTTGCCTAAAAATGTTGAATTATCTTCCTTTTGTTTTTCAAATTCAATTTCTGGCTTAACTATAAAACTCTCACTATAGGTTTTGCCTACTGTTAGATTTAAACAGGCAATCTGAATATTTGAGTCTAAAAGCCTAGCTGTATAGGAAGAACTAGATATTGTATTTGGAATATCAATGAACTTTCTTACAGGGTGAACCACAATATCTCTAAGATCATGCAAAGATTTAGGTTTAATATGACATATGTAATACTGTTAAGTTCCATGTAGAAGTAATTGATTATGAAATATTGACTATCATATTATATTGCCATATATGAACAGAAAGGAAACATGGGCAAAAAAGGAAAGGGAGCGAGAACTTTGCGAAGCACACACAAGTTTCAATAGCCCAATCAACCAAGCAGAAGATAGGATATCAGGGATTGAAAATCAACTCAATGAAATAAAATGAGAAGGCAAGATTAGAGAAAAAAGAATGAAATGAACAGAGCCTCTAAGAAATATGGGATCATGTGAAAAGACCTAATCTACATTTGATAGATGTACCTGAATATGACGCAAAGTTCTCGTGTTGTGTTTTTCAGCTCCATCAAGTCATTTATATTCTTATCTAAGCTGTTTATTCTCATTAGCATTTTGTCTAACCTTTTTTCAAGATTCTTAGTTTATTTGTATTGGGTTAGCACATGTTCTTTTAGCTCAAGAGAAGTTTGTTATTAACTACCTTCTGAAGCCTGTTTCTGTCAATTCATCAGACTCATTTTCCATCCAGCTTTGTTCCCTTGCTGGTGATGAGTGTGATCCCTTGGAGGAAGAGATGCGTTCTGGCTTTGGGTGTTTGCATCCTTTTTGCACTGGTTTCTTCCCATCTTCATAAATTTATCTACCTGTTGTCTTTGTAGTTGGTGACTTTCTGATGGGGTCTCTGAGTGGACGTCCTTTTTGTTGATGTTGAAGTTATTTCTTTTTGTTTTTTAGTTTTCCTTCTAACAGTTAGTCCCCTCTGCTGCAGGACTGCTGGAGGTCCATGCCAGCCCCTGCTTGGCTGGGGATCACCCGTGGGGGCTGCAGAACAGTAACGGTTGCTGCCAGTCTCTATTTCTGTTATCTTTGTCCCAGAATGGTACCTGCCAGATGTCATCTTGAGTTATCCTTTATGAGGTGTCTCTTTGGATATATGGGGGTCGGGGAGCTGCTTCAGGAGACAGTCTGTCCCTTATAAGAGCTTAAGTGTTAAGCTGGGAGCTCCATTGTTCCATTCACAGCTGCTGGGCAGGTACATTTAAGTCTGCTAGAGAGGAACTCATAACCACCTTTTTTCCCAGGTGCTCTGTCCTGGAAAGATGGGGTTTTATTTATAAGTTTCTGACATGCTGCTGCCTTTTTTCAGAGATGTCCTGCCCAGCAAGGAGATAATCTAGTCACAGTCTGCCAGTAGAGGTGTTGCTGAGCTGCCATGGGCTCTGCCCAGCTGCTGTGAACTTCATTGTGGTTTTGTTTACAGAGGTACAGTTAGAACTGCCTCGGTAATGGCAGTCTGCCTCAGTAATGGCGATTGCTTTGGTAATGGGACCATTTTGGGTCCAGCTGCACTTGCTGTGAAACTCTCAATCCAGAGCATTTCAGATTGCTGGTCTTTGTGGGGGTGGAACCCATTGAGCCAGATCACCTGGCTCCCTGTTTCAGTCCCCTTTTGTTCAGTTGAATGGGTGGCTCTGTCTCCCAAGCCTTCCAGGTGCCAGTTGAAATGGCTGCCCAGATTTGTGTGAGTTTTTGTGCAGAGACCTGTGGCACTGGCTGAAACAGCCGTGCTGGAAACTCATGGTGCTTTTCAGCCTGGGAATCTCCTGGTCTCTGGGCAGCAAAAACTCATTTGGAAATGCAGTGATACTCACCCTCTGCATTGTTCTCACTGGGAACTGCACTCCAGAGCTGTTCCTATTCGGCTATTTTGGATCTCTCTCTAGCACTTTTTTTCTTGAAGTCAATTAAATACAGCTCCTCTATAATTTAATTTTGGCACTATCATAAGAAAGTAGAAAAATATCACATATATATTATACATATAGACATACATAAACATATAGACGCAAACAGATCTTATTGAGATGGGAGAGTTCCCTGGATCCCTTTGCAGGACTTTTGACAGGGGTGTGGCTTGCTTATTTGGCCACCATGTTCAAATACCCTGTGGGATGGGGAGCACGCAAGTGAGCCAGTTCTGGGCCTGGAGGCTGGGGCAAGTGTTTTTGGACTCTGGCCCCACGGTACCATCTAGGGGTGTCTTACAATTGATGATCTTTTAGTAGTTACTGTTTGTGGATGGGTAAGTGTTAACCAGCTCAGTGGAGAGTCAGGGTGTCAGCCTTTTACATCCTGCCCTCCTGGTACCCAGGTACTTGTCCAGTGTCCAGGAAGAATCAGGTCACATGGACTTGAAGGATGGTGAATGCAGAGATTTTATAGAGTGATGGAAGCGGCTCTCAGTGGGATAAATGGGGAGCTAGAAAGGAAATGGAGTGGGAAGATAACAACTCCTCTTCGACCATCCTACTGTCTTTTTAATGTACATATGCTTCTTCTCTTCTTCTCTACTACACCACTCTGCTCCTCTGCCAGTGGAGTTTGGGGTTCTTATGGGTACAGAATGGGAGGCATGGTGGGCCAGAGTAATTTCAGGAAGAGCAACTTTTGGGTGGGAAAACAGAGATGTGAAGTTCTCATTTAGGGTCGTGGGACCAGGCTTATGGTAGGGGACTTTGCTGGGGAATTGCCCTCTTCTAGCCAATATTTCCCTGCCTCCTGTCTATATCATTATGATTTTATTCTAAAAGTTTTAGACACATGCCAGGTACAGTAATACAAGCTCATTAATTTATTAAAGAATATCTGGATCCAAAATTGTCTTTTTCTGGCCAATGAAGCAAGGCTATCTGCTGATATAACCAAAACCCTCCTTTGTGTGTGTGTGTGTGTGTGTGTGTGTGTGTGTGTGTGTGAGAGAGAGAGAGAGAGAGAGAGAGAGAGAGAGAGAGAGAGAGAAAGAAATATAAAAGCTTTAGAAATGTTCACTTACAAGTTTCCAAATAGTTCATTTTTTTTCTTTAGCTCTCTGTCTAAATTTGCTTTTCCAAAGAAATGTCTCCTACATAAGGCCAGGTAGAAAATTTACATCTCAGAGATAAAGAGCTTAGACTTCAGGTTTAAATAACATCATTTTCC